GATTTACTGGTAGTCTCGAAACCATAATATCATACGAATCTTGTTCAATATACATTAATAGCCTTTACGCCTACTTATTATGATTATAAGTAGTGTAATGGATTGTCCAATTCGCCAACCGGACAATCTGAGCGAGTTTCCATATTTTGCCACCTCTTAGTCCTGTCAAATGTTCGATCACATGTATTCAGGTCTTCTTCTCTTTACGGATCGAACCTGCTGTCGGCTTCGGTAATGGGTAGACAAGATATCGCCTATAGTGCGTTGCTGGGGCGAGAAGTGATAAAACTGAGAAAAGAGGTCAGCTGATGATCGGCTGTGTTGGGGGCGTGGAAAGTACAGAGGCGTCGATAGCGCTGGCGTGGAGGTTGGTGAAGTGGTGCCGAGAGACTCGATGGAGTTGTGGAGAGTCTGCGCAGAATTGCGTGATGAAACTTCCCCACACCCCAACTGGCACTAGCGACTTGTGTGTTTTAGCTTACCACCACTCTCTATTCATACCAGCGGGCAACTTTCAGTCGAGCCGACGTGACTTGCGTCTTCACACCTTCTTGTCTCGGTCATATGTTGGTGCACCCACACACACACACACAGATCGACGATGCATGTGAATAGGGATCCAAGAGGACCGTCCGAGATTCTGCAAAAAGGGGGCCACGGTGGTATTTTAGTGGGATTGAGCGAGGAATCTCTCCGAAAAACGCCTGGGCTCGAAATGAAAGTCAAGTCAGCAATACGATTAAAGCGTTGAAAACGCGAGATTCTGCCGAAATGTCGACTGTGACCGGCCGATTGTGCCAAATTAGGCCACGTGTCCGTGGTGCGTGCCTCATGTGACGGTACGAAGAGAAGCATGACGCCTTCCTCGTGCCCGTTCCCCTTTTCTGCACGGCCTCGACCCACTTACGACCGACCTTTCCTGCTTCCTCGTCCTCCTCGGTCGCCCCCTCTGCTGTGCTTCACTCTGACCGGGTAGACGAGGAGTGAACAAATACGTTGGGGGTGGAAATGGCTCCTTTGCAGTCTCAAGCGAAGCCTTGCATCAAGTACCGAATTCACATGTCTTGAAACTGTTTCGTGCGAAGAAAAGTTGGGTTTCGACGAATCTCTTGTCTCATCATTGTTGAGCTTACTTCCATTTCGAGTAAAAGTGTTGGGTGAAAAGATTCGAAGAATCAAAGAGTGTCCAAACGCGTTTCCAAAAGGGTTTCCAACCGAATTTTCATACGGGTCGGTGTGAAATTAAATGGAAACGGCAGTTCTAATCATATCATTGTGGGAAAATTCTACTACCATTCCTTCATCACCTTAAACCAAAAAAGGTGGTTGCGTATATATATATATAAATATATATATATATGTGTGTGTGTGTGTGTGTGTGCATATGTTTGGCTGTACTTGATTTCACAGTTATATATATATATATATATGCAACCACCTTTTTTCGTTTAAGGTGATGAAGGAATGGTAGTAGAATTTTCCCACAATGATATGATTAGAACTGACGTTTCCATTTAATTTCACACCGACCCGTATGAAAATTCGGTTGGAAACCCTTTTGGAAACGCGTTTGGACACTCGTTGATTCTTCGAATCTTTTCACCCAACACTTTTACTCGAAATGGAAGTAAGCTCATCAGTCAGTTGAGCTAGTTTGCCTCATTAAAATGAGCGGAAGGCTTCAAGCCAACATGGACGCCATCCCGGATTGCAGGCTTCGACACCATCGGCGAGAGCAGTGCGCACGCAGGCGCTGTCGTCGCGACGACGACGGAGCCGTGAAGTGATCGATTCAGACGGGAGTAAAGGTCGGCTTCTGATTGGTGCCTGAGTGATGACTCATCCTTGTGTGCCGAGGCGATGGTTGGTGGATCGCCTGGCGAGGATTTGAGGGGCTAGAAGCCAGAGTACATGAGTCAGGCGTGCGAGTGAGTGTGTAGTACCAGTTGTCCGTGAACTGGAGGAGAAAGCTGATGGCGTAACGAGGCTGGACCGATGTAGCCCGAAACATGAGCCGAATCACTTGAGAGGACTTTACTTCCTTTTCGCGAAGGTATGAAGACCAAGATGGTGTGGCCTTTTGTGGGGTCGCAGTCTCCTTTCGTTGTTTTACGATGTTGTTTGAACTTGTTTTCGCAACTTCGTCATGTTGGTAGGAAGACTTAGAGGAACGCATTTAGTCCGGAGTCCATGATCATTTCAAAAGTCGTCTGGGAATGTACCACGTCCACGGTGAGACTTTGGAAATTATGGACTCCGGACTAGGCGTGTTTCTCTAAGTCTTCCGACCAATATGACCAAGTTGCGAGAACAAGGTGAAACAACCACTTTTCCTTTTCGCAAGTTGGTCTGGCTGTTATGGCGGTCTCGATGAGCGCAACTTGCCCAATATCTTCTGCCGGAGTAGTCGTCATTATTTCTGGCATCAGACACTCAGATTTGCTGCATCTCCAGACGTTTTGCCCGCGTCGTATTCGGCATCGTTGGTAGGCCTTCCTGGTCCCAGCATCAGGCCACAAATCGCCAGAGACGAAACAAAGAGACAGTGAGTTCATTTTGGTGAAACTTACAACCAAGTTTCTAACCGAATTTGCATACGGGTTTGCAAAAAAGTTTCAAAACAAGGTTTGATCGGTGTTTCCACACGTGTTTCCAACCAAGTGTGTCCAACCGAGTGTCCAAAACAGGTTTCCAAAAGGGTGTCCAACCAAGTTTCCAACCGAATTTCCATACGGTTCTGCAAATGAGTTTTCAACCAAGGTTAGATCAGTGTTTCCAAACGTTTGTATCAACTAGATCTCCAAACGCGTTTCCAAATTGGTTTCCAACCGAATTTCAATACGGTTCTGCAAACGAGTTTTCAACCAAGGTTAGAC